CCGAAACCTGGGGTTCCAGGCTCAGCGATGAGTCCAGGATCACACCCAAGCTGCGAACCTGCATCTTCAGGGGGAGTGCGGCCCCATCCAACACAGGCTGTAACCCTATGCCCTGTTCGGCCTTGCGACTGACCAGGAGTACCTCTGTCTTGTCTGGATTCAATTTCAATTTGTTCGCCCTCCTCCAGACCGTCACAGCGGCCAAGCACCGGTTCAGGACCTGGACAGCCTCCTTAGTAGCAGGTGGAAAGGAGTGACAGAGTTGGACATCATCCGCGTACAGATGACACCGTACCCCGAAACTCCGGATGATCTCCCCCAGCGGCTTCATGTAGATGTTAAACAACATGGGAGACAATATTGAGCCCTGAGGAACCCCACAAGACAATGGTTGTGGGGTTGAACAGGTGTCCCCCAACAACACCTTCTGAGATCGACCCTCCAGGAATGACCGGAGCCACTGCAAAACAGTACCTCCAAGACCCATCCCCGCGAGGCGTCTCAGAAGGATACCGTGGTCGACGGTATCGAAGGCCGCTGAGAGGTCCAGCAGCACCAACAGGGACACACTCCCCCTGTCGAGCTCCCGGCGCAGATCATCCACTAAGGCGACCAAGGCTGTCTCGGTACCATGTCCTGGCCTAAAGCCAGACTGTGCCGGGTCTAGATAATCCGTGTCTACCAAGAATACCTGGAGTTGTGAGGCCACCACACATTCCAAGACTTTGCCCAAGAAGGGGAGATTGGAAACTGGCCGATAGTTGTCGAATTTAGTGGGGTCCAGTGATGTTTTTTTCAACAGCAGTTTTAAGCTCGCTGGAATGCTGCCTTTCCAAAGGGAGGCATTAACCACCAGCTTTACCCACTTGGCCAATCCCCCTCTGGCTTCCTTTAGAAGCCAGGATGGGCAGGGGTCCAGGATGCATGTGGTTGGCCTCATTCCTCCAAGTATCACATACATATACACATACACACATATAAACACACATATATGCATATAAACAAGCACACACATATACACAATATACATATACACGTTTAAACACAAAAATATACATATACACATGCACACATACATACAGACACATTCGCAAGCACACACGAATATACACACACAGTATACACACACATACATATACACCTACACGCATATACACCTACACACATATACATATACACATACACACATATATATATACACACTTATATATACACACACATATATGAATATACACAAGCACACACATATATACTATATATACACACATAAACACAAATATATACACACATACACACACACATATATATACACATATACACAAATATATACACAGACAAACACATATATACACACACAAAACACATATACTGTACAAAGACTGGGCCACAGCAACGCATGGCAGGGGATGGCCATCTATGTAAATAAAAATGTAATGTATAGCCCGAAAAAACCCACAAGAACTGAATGTAATGTTTGTTTGTGGGATTAACATAACTCAGAAACCACTGGACAAATTGACACCAAATTTGGACACAATACACCTATCAGACCAACAAGTGACCATCACTCATAAAAACACTGAAAAACACAGCAGAAGAGACTTAAAAAGCCAAAAAACCCAAAAATATACATTACAACGCATACATAAAATCACATATAGACAAATATATACACACATATGTGCATATATACACACAAAACACATATACACAGACTGGGTCACAGCAATGCGTGGCAAGGGATGTTTAGTATATATATATAAATAAATGTATAAATAGGTTTACAAGGGCTTTAGCTTTCTTTGCCAAAACAAAGAGGGAAAAAAGCCCAAACTTCAAATTCTCAGGATTCCAAAGCATTGAGCCAAGGCAGTTCAAACTGAATCAATTCCACACCTCATCCAAACTTAAAACCAGATTCAAACTAGGAAAGCGTAAGGCCTGAGACCAGAAGCAACAAGGCACAGTAAGGTTATGTACATTTCCACATTTTTTTATGTTTAAGTGTTTAAAACGTTTGTGTTGAGAATTGAGGAGCCTGCCCACTCCTGCCCCCATGTTGAAATCCTAAATTTCTCAGTGGTTTTTACATAATACAAAATCCACAGAAAAGGCATGCCTGGGGGGAGGGGGGATTGTAGTGTGTGGAGCGGACATAGTAAGAAGTCGGCGTTGGAGAGAGAGGCTCAATCATGTGTTCGCTGAGGAACGGGGATGAGGGGGAG